CGTGAATTTGCATCTGATTTTGAAGTTGGTGAATGTTGGGGTCATAACCATTTTCATCGATATCATTTTCACCAGAACTAGAACAGATAGACAGATTAATTAATCATCAATTTTCCACATATACGTCTTGTATTCAGATTAGAAACTTAACATCTTATTGATTCATAGATTTGAAGAAATTTTCTTGTACCGTGCAGAGTTTATTTTTCATTCGTTAAAAATAAGAAATTTCTACATACGCATTTTCTATATCAACATCATTTTCATCGTCATCATCAGAACTTAATGATTCACTTTCAATTGGACATGATGAATCAGACTATAAAGTAAATTAATTGTGTAAGATGGAAAATAGACAATCAAACGAAATCAAACCTCTGTGGATGTTTCATCTTGCTCTCCATCAGCATCATTCATTCGTCCCGATCTATTCACATGTTCGATTTCTAATGGAGCTATTTGAGGTTTTCTTCTTGTGTCATCACCACAATTATTATTAATCGCTGGTACTGTTGAATCGCCAGTGTGTTTTGATCCATCAGATACAGGATGTAGATGGTTGTCTGGTGAGTCTGGATTACGTCGACGATTTGAAACAAGGTCTAATTTCTTAACATGAAAAGAGAAAAAATCTATTGAGCTTGTTCTTTTGTCTTCACAAAAGAAGATTTAAAACAATTTACATCTCTTAGAATTTTGATTTCATTTTGTAAATGATGATTTTCATTTTCTAAATGGTTTGTATACCATTGTTGATCACGACATTTTTGATAATATGTTGGTGGACGAACTTGAAAACGAAGAATAAGTGTATCGTTTTCGGTATCAAGAAAACCTTCGGATGCCAATTGTTCAAGACGAAAAAAACGGTTATAACCCCAACATTCACCAACTTCAAAATCAGATGCAAATTCACGAATTATATTTTTTGTTGGATCTTTACTTATTTGATGAATCATTTCAACGCGCTTTGGAGAGAAAAGAAAAAAAACTTCAATGAATTAACCTTGATCTTAAACTACCAATGACAATTCTTACATATTCATATTTTGATGGTTCACTTAAACCTTAAAATACAAATAGTTCATTAAAAATAATAAATTAAAAATAAAACTACTATTAGACTTTGATATGTCTAAAGAAGTGTTAAAGAAGTTTTTACTACTAACACTTGTACAACATTTATATGAGTGCTTAAATGTTGTGCTTATCATCGTTCCATAGTCATATGTACTAACCGGTTGTCAATTCAAGAAATACTGATAAATATGTTCCACGAACTGTTCCATTTCCATCCTAAAAGAAAACATATCAATTAGTCAGTAAAATAGAATCGCAACTAACACCAAATATACCGGATAAACTTTTAAACGCCATGTTAACCCATTTAGATGTAATGGTTGACTATAAACTGGATCAATATTGTGTTGTAAAATTGTAAAATTATTTATCACATATGTACTTGAATCGTATTGGGGAACAATTTCACTAAAACAGCAAATGAAACAGATAATTCTTTTTTTCCAATAGAAAAATTCACAATAATTTGTCTTACCTAATAAAATCATTTGGTATAGGAGTTGTTACAAAACTTGTCATTGGTTTTCGATGAATGAGTTGTATCGCTTGTAAAAGATCTTGTTGTTTTGATATAAGTTCTGCTTTTCCACTTGTCTTGATTTTATGTTCGATATCTTGTAACATATGCTCGATCAATTCTGTTTCACGAGAAAATTGTAAACGTTGACCTAAAACAGAAAAATAACAAAAACTTCTAAGAAAAAATAAACAGTTGACTAGAGACCATTCAGTAGATCGAGTTTTGATTTTAATTGTTCTTCTAATCGAGCCACCATTACATGTACAACATTACGTGTTTCTCGAATACGATCATCTTTTGCTGTTTTAACACTTTCAACATTACGCTCCTAAATAATCAATAATAAGACATAAAAGAACGATTCTATTTTTTTATAAATGAAAGCAACAACGTACAACATCTTGTATAAGACATATTAGTTCAACATGCCGCCGTTTCAGTTGATTTATTTGATCATTAACAGTAGCGATGTTAGCTTGAAAGACATCATCAAGTTGTAAAAATGTATGACCAGAATGCTAAAACATACAAACAATAAAGCGAGTGCCATTTATAGACGCTAATTTGTATTTAACTAACCACAGTTCCATTAAACAGTGCACATTGATGACATATACATTTTGAACATGTTGAACAGTAAACACTCAATTTTTCTCGATGTAAATCACATCTATGTGTAGAGAAAAGAGTTGAATAAACAGCATTTAGCCATGAGCTCTAAATACTTACTTATCCTTTTCTTCTCGTTTTTGTTTACTTATTTCATTTACTTGTAAACTATCTAATTGTATCGTCACTTCTTCAGCCCAACGACAGTTAACTAAATCATGTAAACGAAGACTTGCTCTAAAATTCGATTTTATTTATCCATTGTTATCCTTTCCTTCAATTTTTTCATGTTGTTTACTTACCGACAATGGGGACATTGTTGACGTTGATCTGTTAACCAGCGCTAAATATAACAAAAAAAATGAGACGCTTTTATTTTTTAAAGGTTTACTTTATTTTATTTACTCTTATACAAGGAAAACAACACAATTTTGAACAATGAGGACATAAACGCGCATCACGAAGTTTTTCCATACAAATAAAACATCGGAAAACTTCAGCAAGTGACTAAAACCAAACAGTAAAAATATAACAGAAAGTTTAAACGAGAGAAAAATATTTCTTACCTCAACACTTGCTGTATGCATCGCCACATTGTTGGATGATGCCATTTCTACTTCACAGACTAGAAATAAAAAAAAAAGAGATAATTGACTGCTACGATTTAGAGAATATTATAAGGTACCCTAGTGATCCAAGTACTTGATTGCTTGGTAAGTACTTGGAAAGAATCACAAGTATTTTTAAAATTACTTAATTATCTTGAACTTTGGCAAATGCTTCTTCAAGGTTGCAATTCCGACGAAGTGCTGTACGAAAGTATTTGACGAGTGAAGGTTCTTGTAAAAGCGTATTTACTCTATGGACTCACGTTTTCTATGCTCGAACATCGGAATATATAATATTCTGGGGTCGTATCACGAAAAAACTTAAGTCAAAGTCTAGACTTAAGTTTTTTTGTGATACGGCCCCCTGTTCTCTAACTTAGTGATCTTTCCACAAGGAGTAAAGTAAGTACATGCACAAGGCAAATATTAAGCGATAATATACAAATACATGGCTAATATTAATTAGAAAACAAGGTAAGTGCTTGCAATTTTACTTAACAAGGACTTACAAATAGATTTACTTGTGCAAAATAAGTAACTACCGACCTAATTATTCAAGCGAACTACTCGTGCCAGGTACATTCACTAGGGTAGTCAGATAGCTGCATCAAACTTTGGAGTTTTATTAATTCTAATCTAGCTAAATTCTTTTTAGAACGCTATAAATATTCGTGCATATTTATCTCAGAGTTCGGTTATTCTATGCTGTTTTTGCGAAGAACATGGAAGACTGTAAATATTTAAAAATCTCTGTTTATCATGAACAATAGTAAAAATAATATAAAACGTTCTTTCTGCTGTAAATATAACTTTGTTAACAAACCTAGATCAGTTTGTCTGGTATCGATATCACAAATAAATAGCTACGAACGAAGCGGTTAAGTGTCATCGAATTATGGATACATTTCGTCGTCGAGGAAATAGTAGAACCATATCTTCACAACCAAAAACTTTTTTTAGTTACAAAACGATAAACAACAACAACTTTTTGTGGTTCATTTTGTCTCTCACCCCACCGATCGGCGTCATGGAAATCAAAATTGTGTTAAATCAGCTGACAGCTATCTGATTACTCCAAAGCAAGAGCAAATGAGAACATTTCGCGACGAGTGATACTTTAGGTTCATAATACCAAAGTTAAGTAGATTATTAAATTCTATTCTTTTATTTTTTTCCACAAAACTCTTTGTGAAGTAAAATTCGAGAGTTAGCGACAAGTAACGTTATTCGCTAACCAAGTTACCCATTTAAAGCTTTTTCTTTTCAGTTAAAAAATTCAAAAAAAGATTCTTCATATCACTAATAATATAATACGGTTTTTTTTTCAGGTTTTTGTTGAAAGTTAGAACCGATTCCATTTACATAAACCGACGGTAAATTGAACTATATTAAAAGAAACTAGTCGCAATCAGCGTTTTTAATAGGAAAGTTTTTTTAGAGTGGAGCTTTTCATTTTGCTGTTAGCGTCAAAATGGGAGTTTTCACTTTGATATGAAATGCAAAGTGGAAAAAATGGGAACTGTTGAAATTTTTGTCTAATAGCGGCTAAAAGAGATATTTTTTATCGTCACAGGGTTTCGTTTTATCACTTTCAGTTAAATGGACCGAAATTAACTTCTCTACCCTGATCAATTACAAATTTAACAACAAACATCTTAGATGACTCATCTAAGACAAAATGTAACTAAAACAATAGCTGGAAGATAAATACTTCTGAAGAAAAATAAACGTTGCAAAACTTTTATACGTTTAGGTAGAAGTCACAAATCCTTTTTGACTAATATTCTGTTGATGTTAATCTTCAGGTACTAGCCATATCGTATTGTGATGAAAATTAGAGGATTAAAATTATATTGGCTCTTTCGCTCACAAGTGTTCAACAAACAGATTGATGGGTTAATTTTGTAAGGCAGAAAATATGAAAAAAAGATAAAGTGGAAATTTTCAAAAGCAAAGTGAAAAATACAGTGGACTATACTTTTTTCAGTATGGAAAACAGAATGGCAATTCATTATTCAAAGTGAAAACTCATTTTGCTCTCGCTTGTCCCACTAATCATTAAAAACACTGGTCGCAATCACGATGTGAGAATATTACATTAATGAGTTTTTGAGGTTCTCTGCGCTTTTGGCTTTCTGTCTTGTGCCTGATTTGTTCATATCATTAATATTTCTCAAAGATATTTTGTATCATTGTATTTCTAGAAATATAGATGCTTTTGGCCACAGTAAATGCATTCCCACTAGCCAATTCATCGTATCTGCAAACTGAATCGAAATGGAAACTGAATTTAAGTGCACTTGATACAAAAAACTTATCATAACGCCGATTAACTTAATTAGGATAATTTATTCTAAGAAGAGATATCAAATGTAATCGATGCATCACGATCAAATTATTCATTATGTATTGATCAAAATTAAATGTAGTTCTTTGAAAATCAGGTGATATCGATGGTATAATTTTATCGAATGAAGCAACAAAACTGTATCGTCGAAGAAATTTGTGTCTATCAGAATGAGTAAAACAGTCACTGTTTGGTTCAACACTAATGATATACAATTATTCACAAAAGTAAGAACACTTCTGTAACTCATGCACCATGGTAGCTAGCGGTCTAAAATTTTGTGGATGCAAGTCTTAGAGAATACTCACCGTGCAGATATTTTTGTAGAAAATTGAATACGAAATCTTTCTGAAAAAGGTCAGATCTTATCAATGCAACTAGCAGCGACTATATCAAAATACCGAGATCAAAAGAATTTTAATATCTCTCCGCATTTCTAAAATTGATTACAATTTTATAATAAAAATTCAATTTTCAAGAATAGTGCTGTGCCAAGAAACAATGCAGGTGTGATGTAAGTTTTTTGGCAGTACGATAAGAATTTCTGGAAGAATGTGTTTTCTATTTGTTGTTTGCTGTTATAATCTTCTCGAGAGACTTTGCCCTTAAAAAATTGCGCAAGCTTTTTGATTGGGAGAATGATGCTAAATCAAAAAGCAGGAGTGGTGTGTGCATCACGCTAGGTCTATTACTACGAGACTGCTCAAGAACTATGCACTTAGTAGATCGGAAATTGACAGGATAATTTACTGGAAGCTAAAATCCAATAAAAATAAATTTTACTTGATCAATCAGGATTAATTTTTAACGATTATACTGAACTGCTAGTTTATTGCACGATTGTATCTGATGGGTCCGGTCGTTATAATACATCGCTAATATACCGTTGTCGAATCAAATTTTGACGAAAACTCTGCTCTGGATTACAGAATAAATAAATAGTTCAGGTCAACTAGAAGATGAATGGGTAGTTTTAGAATATCAAAAACATCAAAGAACCAGTAACTAAGTAATATAAATAATTTAATATTGAAACGAGTATGTGTATATCTAAATTTGTTTTTCAGTGTATGCATACTTGTCCGGATGTGTGTTTTTTTATGTACCATTCCAAAGAAATGACTAGCATCATCTCGCATGTGATTCCCTTCAGTTAGCACATGGTTTTTAATTTCATCAAGGGGAGTAACATTTTCTGCGCTTCGTCAATTCCCTTATACGATGACCGTTTTTCCATTGATTCGTTATTTTCATAACTGTATAGTTTTGTTAATCACAGAGGAAACAAATAAAAAAATTTTCTTTGAATCAATTAGGGTCTCTGTTCAGCAATCAAATAAAAACTTTGAGCCAAATTTCGTGTTGTTAATCAGCTAGTCTTTCGAATTTAGAGAAACGTTTGATAAGAGATCAGTGACACGTTTCCATGCTTCTGTTCCTCGTCATTTTTTACTGAAATAATAATGCTCATCATGAACTTTAATGGTTCTTTCTTCTATTGCTTTTTTTATCGTATCGTTTGGTACTTTTACTACAGATTACGTGATGGTGGTGGTGAACTTGTTTAAAATGTTTAAAGTTTATTTATTGATGTGATGAAGGTAGAATAAAATGTTTTATTATAACTTAATATAAAACATCATCTAATATGGTATCATGTTAGCAAAGAATTACATGTTGATTATATGTAAGTAAGTAAGATAGGTGTATCAATTACATTTGCTTATTTTAATCTTTTTTTCATATGTTCAGGCTAATTTCAGAATAAAATTATTTTCCTTTATTTATTCTACGGAAGAATTAGTACAATAAAGGAAAGTATGATACCCACTCAATTGGGGTAAGTGTTAAAAGTTTTTTTTATGGCGCTTGAAAAGCGCAATTTTTCTATTTTTTTGCTACGCTAAATTTAGATCACATTTGTGGTTATCTTTCTGTAGATCGAATAAATTTTATTAACATTCAGTTACTGTTTTTAATGTGCCTAATAAAGTTTTTCTCATTGCCATTTTTTTTAATCAGTTTATTAGTAACAAGTAAAGATCGTGCACAACATTTCCACTTTTATCTTTTATACAAAAACTTATAGCTTGTCTTTGTTTCAAACAGAATAATCTATTCCAAAATTAAAACACGTTTACTTCGGAATACTTAGGTCCTGAATTTTGTTTTACCACCTATCTAATGTGATTTTATGCATTGCTTCTTCGGTGATCTCTTTCTATCAATATTTTGTTTTTTTTCTATCATACAGTTACATTTTTTCTTACTATTTATTTTTCAAACATATTTTTCTGTAGTAACACATATATACAATAAAGCGAGATATATAAAATTAAATATAAAACATCTTGTTTTGTTTATTATTCTTAAGAAAACATAGTTTGATGTTTATTTATGCGATAATTTTTACCTTCTAGAATAAGAGATTATAGATGTCACTACACAAACTGTGTCGATGACAGCTGGTTTGAGTAAAGACGATAGATGAGAGGGTTTACAAAGAGGAAAAAAACAGCATTAATTCTACATGCTTCTTCCTACTTGATGTTAAACGTAATTATTCTATTAGCCATTTTTGTAGTTTTCCATCCTTATGATTTGGAGTTTGTCGACACTTATATAAACATAAAATGTTTTGAGTTATAGTTAATCGAATTATTTTAGTAGATATAGTATAAGAACTAAGAGTAGCTGCTACATCCATGCCTCAAATTATACAATCGAATCGGCAAAAACACTAGGTACTTTCTCTCTCTTGAAAATAACAATAATTTCGTAACAATATTAACATACGATCTTGTTGTAAATACAAGATATTAAGTGGTTAATTTAGAAGAAATAAATTGGTCCTTGTTTGTTGATTATGGATTTATATGTATTATTTTTATCTAATTTTGTATCAATTTACTAATGTCATTTACTGACTTGCCCATTATTTATCTAACAGGTTTATTTTGGTTCTTCTCTTTCTTTTGTAGCCAATTTTGTTTTTTCTGTAGTATTATTACTAAAAGAACAAAAGATCAGACTATTTTATATGTTTTCAATTGTTGTCTGTTGTATGTATTATCTCCCGAACTGTTAACAGTACTTTTCACCTGATCATTTATTATATCTGTCTTGTAATACGTTTCATTTGTGGTAAGAAAATGTCTGTACTACTTACATGAATGAAAAATCTTAGCATAAAAAAATTTCTTAGAAATAGTGATAAAAATCACGAGAAAACCGTAAGTGTTAGATTTTAGCTTGAAGTATAAATATTGAAGAAATAACTACAAATAATTTGTTTTGACTGATAAACGAAATGGTGACATTCAAATTACATAAACAAAACAAAGTATCAAAACTCGAGACAACTATTCTGTCTAGAAATAAACCGGCTGTTTGTGGGCGAGTGTTAACGCATACATAGTAGACAGTTAGAGAGATAATTCGTCAGCACCTGTAGCGATTAATGTATTTAATGCATGATTCTATTACTTTATGATTGTAGAGACTACAGTTAAGATGTAAAGTTGGCAATGATGTGATACTTTTGTGTGAAATCCAAATGTTATCTCATTCGACAAAACTAAAAAGCCGTCGTTTTTCTTTGGCAATCTTGACCTTTTTTCAAGAGATTGTCTGTCGATCCTTATCACTGACATTCATTTCCGCACGTGACATCTTTGAGTGGAAATAACTGTTACATCTGTCTCTGTAATTTATATATTGAACAGAGGATCGTCTAGTCCTTTGGTTGAAGGTATGAAGTGAATTTTTCTACTCAAGTTTTAATTTTTTTCTGAATAAATGATTGTGTTAAACATTGAAGAGTTGAGAGACGTGAAGTATTTTACAAAAAAAAACTTAGATAGTCTACATTGTACATATTATTGTTGTATAATAAACTACTCTAAATGACAGCGTTATCAACTTGTGTTTAAATACAATAATCTCTTCTTTCTTTGTATTGTTGTGAAGTAGAAGACAGATCTCAAGTCAAAACTATCAAAAAAGTCTTGATTTGTTTTTAAAATAGAACATTGTAGACATATGATCGTACAATTTTCTGAAGATAACTTTTGGCAAGTTTTAGTTTATGTAGTCTACTTGCAAGTAACTGACAGTCAGCCATTTAAAACAACATTAAATTTTTATAAAATGGATAAAATTTGTTTTTTGTATATAAATGTATGAGCTATTCACAAGAACTCTATTTCGATTCTAGAACTTTTTAAAGAAAAGACAAAGACTTTTTTATCCTTTCTTCTCAATTTTGTTAAATAAAAACATTAATCGTTATTTATTTATTTATTTATTTCAATAAATAAGAGTTAATAGTTTATGTAATTGGTGTCAAAAGATATTGTGTGAATATCGTGTGTGAAAAATATTCCATAAACTGTTCTCTTTTTTTCATTGAAGTAACTTTGCCGAATGTAAGTCAAAAAATTAATTATTTCTAAAATGATAACACATGTTCAATTGCTTCACACACATAGTGTGTACTTAATTATACTAGTTGAGTTTTTGAATTTATTCACTCGCTTAACGTGCAAATGAGGTGTTGAAACTCAATAAATAATTATTCGAACTTGACGACATGTGATGATGACACATCTCTTTTAGATTAGAAATGAGTTACAACAGATTTTTTTGTTAACTTCTCGCTGAGAGAACTCATCATGCATTCCTAATTTGACGTAAGAGTAATGAAAAAGAGAGAAAAAGTGAACAGTTGAAAAACATATTAGAAAAAACGGCTGGATACTGAGAAATTACCTTCTTGTCTTATATGAACATGTCAGATTTTCTATACTTTGTTTTGAAATCTTGACTATCGTTTTGACTATTCAATACCTTTAGAATGTATAATATCACAAATATTCACTTTTTCTCATACAGTAAGAAAATGGTGTGTTAAATCACGCGCGTACACATGTTCTGATACGTGCACATTTTTTAACTGTATAGAATATTTTGTGTTAAAAAGATTTGACGATACGTTTTATCTTTTACAATACATCAAGTCAACATTTTTTTTCAGCAGTATACTCTTTGTTTATAATGTATCTAAATCTGCTCAGTTTGTTGTCATATATTAAATGTTTTTCCGTTATTGATATAAGTGTAAATCCTTTTAATCATTCTGACACTGTTTTGTTTATATATTTGATTTGACTATAAACATCTTTATATCAATTTGAACTCTAAAGTAGTTGTAGTAGTAGTAATAGTAATAAATAGTAAAGTTATTGAGTAAGGAGAATCTGTCTATTCATCTTTAAAAGTTAAAAATTTGTTTTTTTTGAGATAATGAGAGTGAATATGAACACAGTAAAGAAAAAAATAGAGCGCTGCGGATAAATAACGACAGGTTTTTTTTCCTCTATTCACGTATATACAAGGTTTGCTTAGAATACATCCATGTATTACATTGTATCAAACGTGCGACGATGAAGAAGCCCCAGAAAAGTTTCTTTTTTTTGTTAAAACATCTTTTTTTTTTTTCTTGAATGAAGGATATTATTTATATCTACATGTATATATATATATACAAAATGGGTTTTTTTTTCAACTAATTTTTTTTCTGTGTCGATAATGTTATGTTGTGTACTAGTCTAGGAAAAGAAGAGAAAAAATAGAAATGAGAGAAGCATAGACCGAACAATATCTTCTCTCTCTCTCTCTCTCTCTCTCTCTCTTGCTTTCGCTCTACGTACATAAGATACTCAAAGATAAGATATGTATATCAAAAAAATATGAGAATAGAAAGATGTAGAAACTAGGTGTAAAGTTAAAATTAGTTCATTGATAATCATTATTGTAATGGAAAAATAAATGATGATGACAAAACTTGATCAGAGGAACAAAAAAAAAAACGACATTATTATAAATAATATTTTCATAAATTTATTATAATTAATCAAATATATCAAATTTTGGAGTATGTAAGTTTGAAATAGTTTTATAAATTAAAATGGATTCAATAATTTAAAGAATAAAATTATTAAAATTAATTAAAATAATCAATAAGTGGACTTACTACATGAAACACGTTTGAAATAGTTTTGTGTTTCATTTTGTTATAAGTCCTTTAGAAAAAAAAACGTATCTAAATATATTTTTTTTCTAACAATAAAAATGCCAACAATATCAAATACAAAAGTAACATTATATCCATCATTAACAACAATTTTAACACCATCGACAAGTTCAACAGTAACAACGACCATTAATAATAATAATAATACGAATACATCACAATTTCCTAATTCAATCTATAAATTAAAATCAACATTTTTAACTCGTTTTTATTCATCATCAACATTGAATTCCTATCGTCTTGAAATATGTCTCGCATTTCTATTATGTATTAGTTTACCAATTATTATTATATTTTCTCTTATATTTCGAAAAAATTTAATTGAATCACAAGAATTAACATTATTTAATACAACTACAACAACATTTTCGATGATTATACTTGATAAAACAAATGATAATTCAAAAACATTTTTTCCAACTGAATTAAAACAAATTCAATTAAATGACTATCCAAATGCTCAATGTAATGATGGAAGTCAAGCAACATATTATTTAAGACATCGTTATTTTTTATCAACAAAAAAAGGTCAACATACATTTAATATTCATATACAATCGAGACGATGGTTAATTTTTTTAGGTAGGTTTTAATTTAACAATATTTTATATGAAATATTTCATATTATTCTATATTTAGATGGTGGTTGGTATTGTCATGATTTATTAACATGTGAAAAACGTCAATTAATTAATCCTTTATTAACAAGTTCAAAACAATTAAAAAATTATCGTTATGGTAGTGGTATATTATCATCATCATCAGATGAATCTGGATTATTTTTAAATTATAATGTTGTCTATATTCCATATTGTTCAAGTGATCTATGGACAGGTACAATGAATAGAAGTATTAATAATAAAAATCAAATACAATTTTCTGGTTATAATATTTTAAAATCTGTTTTATCCGATTTATATGAAACAAAAGGTTTACATCATGCTAAACAAATTTTATTTTCGGGTACAAGTGCTGGTGGTCTAGGTGTTCTTATTACATTACCAAATTTATTAAATGATTTACCATCAATATTAAATCGAAATCAAATTGATATTCGAGCAATTATTGATTCAGCTTGGTTCATAGAACCAGATAATGATTCATATGGTTCAGATACCATACAACTTGGAACGAATTACTGGAAAGCAAAATTACCATTTAAATGTAATGAAAAATATGAAAATAAACAGGAAAGATGGAAATGTTTTTTAGGTAAGTGAATTATATGCATAAATAAAAATCACATATAAAAAAGTTTATTTTTATTACTAATTTTAACTTTTTTTTGAATTTTTTTTTCTTCTTCTTCTTCAGGTAATGTTGCTTTAGAATCATTTGAACAAAATATTCAATTATTTATTATTCAATCACTTACAGATGATACTCAACTAGTAGCATCAAAAAAATTGACTTCCTTATCACAGTTGATTAATGATGATAACGATAACGATGAGATCAATGATCGTACACGTTTAACAAACACTATAACAAATAATTTTACATTAAAATTAATTAATTCATTAAAAAAGCAAACACATATTCATATATTTGCTACAAGTTGTCCATTCCATGGTCTATTATTACGTGCCGATTGGCTAGACTTTAGTATTAATGATAGAAAATTATCTCAAATTTTAACCACTTGGTTAAGGACCACACCGCCAAAACGCTATATACAATTAATTGATCAGTTAAGAATGAGCTATTGTCCAATTACGGTGAATTTGTAAATATATATATATATATCTATATATATATATATATGCATGTATACAAAATGAGAGTGTAAAAAAAATTTGTTTTTAACATTTTTTAATATAAAATAAAAAAAGAATATTAATTCAGTTTTTAAATATCGTCACATTTCGAATTATATTATACTCATTCAAAGTCATTTTCAATTTAACTTGTATTTCATAAACCATAACAGATTTGACTTTAGAATTTGATTAATGTACACCTCGAATTCTGATAATGATATTGAATATATTGTTCCATACTCTAAAAGTTTGTATTATTATCTTATTATGATGATAAAAATGTCATTTTTTTTCTTTCTCATGTGAAAGTTTATCATCTCATATTTTATCTATCCATCTATGGAATATATATTCTTGTTTGTTGATTCTTCGATTTTTCAAAAAAAAAAAAATGAAATAGAACTTACTATATTCATATACTATGAGTATATGACATATCCAAAGTGATTAAAAACAATATTTATGAAAACATTGCATGATACATTATATTTTTTGAGTCGATTATTATTTATTGTCTAGAGTGAAAAGATAATTGAGTAGTCGACTATGTTTTTGTATGTTTTTGACATATCGATTAACAATAACAAACGTATTATAGACATTCTGAAAACTGCCACTCGTAAATCTACTTAAGAGATATTGATATGACCTTGTTTTCTAATTGCGTGATTTTAATATGAAGAAGAAGAAGAAAAAAAAAAAAACGAAAACGTTTTTCGCTTTTTATTAATCTCTAAGTAAAGTGTTCAAACTATTTTAAGCCATTTTTCAAGTGGCAACTTTTTTTTTTTTTTTTGTCTTTATTTATATAGAAATTGTATACATCTGTACTGATTAGAAAGATAGCATTAAGTTATTTTTCAAGAGTCTATCATTGAACTGAATATCAGTCATTCTTGTATGTGTGTATTTATTGTCATAAAAGACTTTTTCTCTTCTTCTTTTTTTAAGAATCACTTGGCAGAAAAATTTTTTTTTTTTCTGTTTTTGTATGAAATCCTTCTTATTGAGAGTATTGTCAAATATTGTGATGATAGACAATAGTAAAAATTTACTGTATAAAATATGTCGATTGAGCATGCTCGAATCATTGTTCTCTCTAATGTGCAATGCAAATGTCTAGATAACGAATCTAATAAATGGTTATTGCTACTAGAAACATAAAAAAATCGTAATAAGCACATATCTTATCAAGTCTCTATTGAAATAAAGGCCTTGTTTGTAACTCTCACTGTAATCAATCTATGTTAATCGATGAATACTGATTTTTGTCAAAATATACTCTTAAGGCCTATGAGAAGCTCGAAGGCGGCTTCTTTCTTGTTCAGTAATCTTTTGTAGAACATCTCGTTTTTTGCCTCTTCTTCTAGAGAGAAAGAACTTTTTTTACCAATGACAGTAATAAATTATCCTTGTAGAAAAATTGTATTTTTTTGCACAGAATTCTATCGTAATTTCGATATTTTTTCTTTAGTCTATGCTACTTTTCAATGACCTATTTTTGAAATAAAACAAATGAATTTATAGTTCATGAATGAGATAAAAAAAAATTACGACTTCAATATTTATTATTGTTTAATTTACATTTAAATCGAAAGTTTGATTGAGCATATAAGTGTCGTTCGTTTGCAATTTAATTTATAAAATATCTGTTATTTAAAAAGTTAATTTGTTTTCAACTTGAAACTCTAGCATCTTTTATATAGAAGAGATTAATATAAAAAAATGTGTGTGTATTTATTAATCTACTTTTATTCCTTGATCAAACTCCGATTTGTAATGTCTCTATTTCTCTCTTTTTCTCTCTGTGTCTGTCTCTCTATTTGAAAATTTTACCGCCGACACGGTAAACGATTATTGTATTAGATGTTAAGTATATATCACAGTCTATTAGTGATGACTTGATGAAAGTAGCGAGCAATATACAACGGCATTATTTAATGTAAACGTTCTCTTTCTCTCAGATTATGGTGTATTCAAAATCGAACAAAAAAAATAAAAAATAAAATTTCAATTTAACTATACAGTTATATACATCTTTATGTTTAACAATGAATTAATGGAAAAAAATCTTTGATCTTGCTTTTTTAAAGATAAAGTGTACTAATTGAAAAAAATAATATAGTCGGGTCTTCTTTTACTTTTATTGTCTCTACTATAGATGTGTTATGATACACTTTATTTTTAAAGGCTTTTTAAGTTTTTGAATAGTATAACGCATATTTCATATATTTTGACTTATTGAACAAACGTATAGGACGAGTGCGAACATAAAATTACATCATCATCATCATCATTTATCTATGCTTGACTTGAAGATGAATAAGAAGAAATAAGTGTCAATGAAAGGATAAAACGATTATTAATAGCCACTCTCATACACGAGAGACGAAAATTTCTATGTACAGGCGGAGCATATGGCGACTTTGAACTTGTGTTTAACATTTGTTTGATTAAGAACAATTTGTTTGCTATATGTACATGAGTTTGAATAGTAGTACTAGTAGTAGAATAAAAAAGAAAAAAAAGTCGATGTCATAGTATCAAGTGGAATACTTTAAACAAAAGACAAACAGACAAAACGATAGTAAAAAGATCAATTTCTAAGGTCCATATTGTCTGTCTATTGTTTAATTTATATAAAAATCAGTCGAAAATTATTATACAAGTTAGTTTATTAAATAAATTCATATTAAATTATACAAGGACAAGTATCATTTGATAAATAACTCTCAAAGTGCTAATAGGTATCTGTCAATCTTTCTGTTTCTATCTAACATAATTATTATTGTTAATATATCGTATTACTTTTAATAAAAATGTTCTTCTTTGAGTGACAAACAATTGTCAATTGTCATAAATTTGTTTTCTATCGTGTGATCTTTATATCAATATATATATAGAGAGAGAGAGAGAGTGGAAATGAATGTGTTACAATAATTTATGTTAGAAAATTATTAAATTTTGATATTGAGAATAAAAATTAGAAAGAGCACGAATTTTTGTTAAGATGACAATAAAAATTTCTTACATCATATTACATATTAATTTAACCTTTTCTCACAATTGTATACAAAAGGTGAGAGATGCAAAGTGAGATGATTGAAATTTTGATTGGTTTTAGTAAAAATTAATTTAGTTTTTCATTGTTTCAATTATAAGAATAGAAGGAATAAAAGTAATAAAAATTTCTCTATCTGTACAAAGTTTTTCATTATCAACTTTACACATTTTTCAGTACATAAATAAAAAAATGACATCATACATAATTCCAATGTAACAAATCGTTTTTTCTGATTAAATATGATTGAACAACAGAGTCAACAGGAGAGAAGACAATTTA